CAACGTGTTATGATTTTAATAGTATTATTGTTAATCGAAATTTATTTGCCTATAGTTAATCCTCCTCGCACTGTTTATGATTTCTAGCTTTAGTGAATTTTTTGTTTAAACATTGTCCCATATCACTTCGGATCACCTGTTTGCTTGTTTATTGTGATATGTTTAGGTACGGAACCTTTGGCCATAGCGCGACTCCTGAATCTTTCGCAACTTTTTCGCGTCTCCTGGACTTGGTGCGCTATTTCGAGCGCTATAACGATGGCTCATACGCTGAAGCAATAAACGTAAATCGTTTAAGTACCTTTTCTACTGTCGCGCGGTATTTCTCTATACGTGCGCAAATCCGTGGCATTCTTCCTCACAGTATGAACGTCCTGCAGGAGGCACTGCAGATTAAAGTTATACTGTTAATAAATAAAGTTCGAGATAGCATCATGCTTTCCGCACAGAAACTCAAAAATCCGTTTGACATAGCCTTACGGGCTAATTCGCTCACAGCATTCATTTCAATAGCTCTAGTTTACTATCAAACGAACAAGCATAATTGTTTAGATTGCAAGGCGCTACAATTTTAAATCTTCTGTATAATCAAGCTATTCGATCCGCGGTCTGACTCTTTGCTTTCTTGAAGTGTCGTCATCCGATGTGAAAGCCACCTGAACTGAGACTATTCGGCATGGCGAAGGTAGCGTACATGTCCCTCAGGACATTTTAATGGCATTTCATCCGAATCTGTCTTCGTGTATTCTGCATGGTTTCATAGATTCATGGCCCCTCATTCTAAGCATAATTGTACGAAGCAAAAAATGAACCTTGGCGCGAATCGACTACCGAAATTTCTTGCCATAATGACAGCTTCCGGTTTCGCACCGTTCGTATGGTCAAAATTCATGACAGTCGTTTTCTTAGAATCGTTTTGATGAACGAAATTTCAAAGCTAACTTAACTGATCTAATGCGTTTATCTTATGGACTACTGTTAATAGCTTTGTCCACCCCTAAAAGAGAACCATTAATGACTGATGAAGTGCATTGATAAACATGCATTTTTTTGCCGATCACTGATCGGCTTTAGAACATGCAGATTTTTGGTTATATGGGCTACATTTTTTGTTTACATTTATATTTCAACGATGTTCTGTCTTAATCGGTTAATTTTAATGTCATTGTGTGTGTGCTTCATGCTTTGCAATATTGCTGAAGGCAGAAAGATGATCAGTTGGATCGTATATGTAAGAATTTTACTCTGTTTATGTAGACAGTGCCAATGCGCATCGCTATCGATGTGATCGCTTCTGATAAAAGAGATAAAGTTTGTTAGCTTAATGTTTGTGTTCTTGGATAAGATTAACTCGGTGAAGATTTGTATCACATTTCCAAAGTTCTTGTTTTTACAATTTTTGCCATAACTCGTTTAACCGGTTTCAGTAAGATAGTTTACTTGCAATGTCAACCATTTAGTTCAGCCAGTTCCTATTCCACTTTTTATACTTTCACCCTACCTGTCCAAAGGAGATTTCAGCGTTAGCTCTGAAAGTTTACCTCCTTGCCGTTTCATTCATGTAATGGAGGTGATTGCTTCTGGTGGAAGTCTTGTGTCTAAGCCCAAGCTTGAGCCAGTACGTCACCGTTTCTTTCAAGATTTAAATAGATAGATGATGTTTCATTAATTGTGACGTTATTATTTGGGTCATTAATTGTAGAGTTGAGTATATGATCGATATATCTTGCGCGGTGCGAGATGATTTATAAATACCAGCGGTTGAAGGATTATAGTTTTCTCATTTCCTGGACCATCACATTCATTGAGGGCGATAGTGCAGATGGCGCAATTTGCACAAATCGGTCGTCCTCAGATTGATCTTTTATCAGTTTCAACTGCAGCAGCTTGCTGAGATGGTGGAAATCCTCATTACTCATTACTGCTGCCATCTGAGCCGTAATCTCGTTGAAGGAATCGATTATCTAAAGAATTCGAGGGGCGTGACACATAAGAGTATAGGTTATATCTGTTGTTTCGTGATCCAGTTTTGTAATATTTTAATATTTCCTGCATTATGACCAGTCCCGCTGTTATAGTCACGTCAAGAATTCGGTTCACGGCGTATTATGTTTATTGTCGTTGTGGTCAACATCAGTAACCATGATTAATTTCGACCTCGACAAAATCTGTTATTTTGCATATTCCAACCAATGACGATTCTGATTAGAACATTAGAGATGACGTAGCTCTGACGGACTCCAAAAGCACTGTTACGTAATTTTTTCAGTTTGCTGAAGGCCCGGATTGTCACTCGTAGCTTGTGATAGTATGCCTTAAATAGGTTTCAAGCTTTTGTGGAATGCGGTAAATTTCCATGAGGCGCCACAACGAGTCTCAATGAAGTGAATCGAATGCTACCGCGTACTTTTATGAAACACACAGCGGTTGGATGTTCGAAAGGCTTGATCGGTGTGCCTCCTTCCGGCGCGTATGCCGGCCTGATTTGGTCTTGTGCTAGTCTATTCTCGTACGTCCGAAGCATTAATTTGGAGAAAAATTCTCACACCACGTTAATGAAGCATGTTTGACAACAGCTGTCATCATTTTTGAATAATGCGAATAACAGCTGACAACACATTGTTCCTGTCTTGCTTGTGGAATCCGCTTTTCAGGCAAAACATGGCAACTGTTTCTGATGGACTTTCCTTATATAACTGTGCTGACGGGCTATCTTGTTTTGTTCCGCCTCAACGATCTGAAAATGACCTTTATGTCCGCAGCTGATGGAATTGTGTAGACGGACAGGTATTACTGGCCATCTCTCTCTGATTCCGCATGCCGATGCGAAACTGCTGAAGATGGCTACTTGAGGAGCGACTTAAAGTAGTTTTTCCACTGATGAACATGAACCACCAGATTTGGTTCCAGTTCACCAGCGCTGCTGCGTATAGATTCATTCCCGATCATCTAAAATATCGAATTTATTAATATAATGCTTTCTTGTGCCCCCTGCGCTGGCCGCATGCTCCATTACATTAGCTTGCTATTATTAAAATGTTTTTCGTCGGCTCTGTCGAATCTCAGAGTTTGCCGCCTATGTGAACGGAAGTCAGTCCCCTATCTTCGATGCGATCTACGCGTTTAACTCCTTGGGCCGGATTATGTGTGCGGCGGTGTAGTTTTTTCGGTGCTTCGTGCGGCCAAGTATGTTGGAATTGAAATAGAATGAAGCAAGACCAACTCGGCGACTGCCATTTTTCCACTATTGTTCCACGGTATCGCTTGTTTCAGCTGTGGTTGCTCAAAAACGACCCCATTCATCATTTTGAAACGCCTAAATAATTTTTTTAATTTTCGGAGTTTCGAGTAGTTGATACACACCTTTTGGAGGTGCTTTGGTTTCTTGAGTACTTGAGACGCATTTTCGCGAGTTGTATTGTGGTACAGTTGTCTTAGAGACCTGCTTTGAACACCCGAGGTGCGGGTTTTGAATCCGCTGGAGGGATACCTTTGTCTTATTCACCAGTTTTCTTGAACAAGCAATTTGCCGCCCTTTGCTGCAGGCTGGAGTTTGCTAGGTCGTTAGAGTGTCTAACTCATAACCGATAGATCTCGAGTCAAGGCCATTCGCCCTTCTTCCTTCTGAGGTGACGAATGAGTACCACT